TAACGGAAGGCATGAGCTTAATTCAGATTTTACCCTTGACCATGAGTCTTTGAGTGCCCAAGTTTAGACTTTCCATCACTAGATCTCAAGCAGGACATAACAGCTATTAGGCGGCAGCATTTTCACGGGTTGCCGTGGAGATACAACTCAAAGTATCTCATATTTTTCAGGCACTGGTAAAACCGTAACTGGAGTGCACATCGCATACTGGTTCGCAGAGCGAAACAAACGGTTAAAATCGGGCAAGGTTTTGGAAAAAGACACTGGTGACACTGAATGCGCTGTAGCATACAAAGCACCGCCCCAAGTTATTTATTGTGGGCCTTCTAACAAATCTGTAGACGTGGTCACAGGTGGGTTGTTCCTTATTCGTTATATCTCGTTATGTACCCTGATACTGTTGGAAACTGTCGATAAGGAGTATTGAAAACATTTTTCGGTTCTCTATGTCTAGTCACATTTGGCATAAACAGTGCAAAGCTTGTGTTGTTAGCTTTCTGTGGTCAGAATGCTATTTGAAAAATTGGACTATTCGTTGTCTATGAACGAATAACCAACGAGGCGTAGCCAAGTTGACTATCACTCATAGAAAACTAGGGTGAGTAATCTAGTTGTATTAGAATAGACACTCTAAAGGTTTACGGCACAAAACCGACAATTTTGTGTATTTTTATGCCTAAACTGCGGAATAATCTTCAGTTTCAAGTGAAATTTAGCCTAACTTTACTTAATGTCGCTCTCCTATTGATACTACTGTTTAATTAATGATCGACATTTCGAAGACAATCTCAACGGCATAGACTTTCTCTTTACCTCTTTTCTCGCCTTTTTGCAGAGTATCTTTTGAAGATTCCTAATCTGAAGGTTCTCCGAGTTTACAGTGATCAAATTGAGCAAAAGGAATTTCCAGTTCCCAACAAGCTGAAGCCACCCAGACCCACAAGGAGTGAGGACGAATTAAAGATTTCCAGCGAAAAAATACGATGTGTGTCACTTCATCACGTGATTCGTGGGCCCGAGTGCCCATTTTCACAGGAGCTGCGACAATTTGAAGAGGGATTCGACCAGAGCAAAGCAAAGAAAGAGAGAATAGGCCAAAAGGAAGTCAATGAATATTGCGACGTAGGTGAAAGTATTAAAATTTAGATGAAACTATAAACCACTTTTTAGCCTACAAGATAATCATAGATTAACGAAAAATGAAAGATGAAGAACTGACAAAGCTGAACTGGGGAGCGTTTAGTGAGTTAAACATAAAATGATACAGGGCAAAAACTAACCCTTCAGGTGCAAGAAGTCGATCCCCTTGATTTCGTTACATTTTGTCTCGTCCAGGGAGGAGGAGGGAGGATGTGACGTAAAACTGAAGCTCTTGTGCTCCTGCAAACGCCTGTAAAATACCCAGGCGTTGATACTGTTCCCTAACTAACTAGGTAACAATTATTAATAATGACAGTTTCTCGTATTTATAATAAAATACCAATAAAGGGTTTTTTTGGATAACTTAGGATAGTTGACGTCAGTGACTAATTTATACTTTCACTGTTAGAAGGGGTCAATATTATTCACAATATGAAGGGTGGCCAAAAGTTGAATATTGTATTCACTCCGTCACATCTGTAAGAATGGCACAAGTAGACTGTGCTTTTTTTTATTTATTTATTTATTTTTTATTCATGTGGATGTAAAACTCGAGTGATAAACTGACGATGATAAACTGAGGAGTGCCATCTCAAGGCTGAGAATTCAATGTGAAAGAAAATGTGAAGAAGATTGTTAAGTTACTCAACGTTAACAAGGTATTTTTTTATTATTTTTCCGGCACAAGCTCATCGGACAGGCCGAGAAATGGGCTCTTCAAAAATCTGGAGTTCAGATCATTCTTTGCACATGCGCAGCATCGGGAAGTCCAAGGCTAACCAAAGCCTGTGACAACATCCAGCAATGCATTGTGGATGAGTGCGGCATGTGCATGGAACCTGAGTCACTCGTGCCAATCACGTGCTCAGGAGCACGCCAAGTGGTTTTGATTGGCGATCACAAACAATTACAGCCCGTCATTCAGGACCAGGTGGCAAAAACACTTGGTTTGAGTGTGTCCATGTTCGAGAGGTATTCTAATCGAGCTAAGATGTTGGCGCTACAGTACAGAATGGTGAGTAGTATGGAACACATACGCATTAAGTATAAAAATAGACATTCAGTTGAAAGAGGGCCGCAATTTTGTGTCCTAATGCCGAGCGCTACACAAATGGAGCAACAGTTTATAATTAACGCTCACTTTTAAAAGATAGTACGTGTTGAAATTCCCGAAAAATCGTAAAAGACCAAGCAAAAATGTCATATTTAGTAACTCAGAGTTATACGTAAACCTTGTTTCTCCTGAATCAGAAATATTTTCCTGAATCAGCAAGATCTTCGATTCACTATTGTGCTTGTACAACAAGAAATTATTCGTTTAACGTTCCTTGCCTGTTTTTCTTCCTAGCACGATGGAATATGTGAATTTCCATCAAAACATTTTTATGGCGGAAAGCTTCAAACAGCTGACTCAGTCAAGTCACGTGATCCTAGCCCCGTGACCTTTTGGCCGGCCCAGGTACGTCGGCAGAGGAATCTTCCAATAGCCTTCTGTCATGTTGAAGGACAAGAAGAGTCGTCTGTCATTAGCACGTCAGAGAGCAATGAAGAATCAAAGAGAAACATGAAGGAAGTCAGGAAGGCGGTATGTGAAAATTTATCCAATGACCTTAATTCAGTGATCATAATGGTTGCTTGCATAATCTCGAGCCCAGATCTCCCACGGCCAGCGTCAAACAGAGTGAGATTTGGGTAGGAGATTATTGTTTGCATAGCCTGTTGGAAAACAATAATGGCTTTAGGAGAGAAGCAAACAACAAAATGGGCTGCGAAATTTAGCCCATTTAGTTTTCTCAAACTCGTTTTTACTTCAATGAATCAAAGTTTCAGAGTCCGTCTACACCGGTGACATAACTAACATTAATTAATTGTTACTTTTGCACACAACGTTTCGTAGCGGATAAGTCGTCCAACTTTAACGCGCTTCGATTCCTTTCATTTTGAAATACTTACGTGTAATAAAAGAAGCTCAAAAATGGTGACGCCCTGAAATTTGCGACTTTCGAAAATAACTGTAACATCTTGTTTAAATCTTGAAAACGTCTTTCTCTTGCTCGTAACGTGAGTAGAAGACTGCTAAAAATGCATGAAAACGATCCTATAGTAACTGTACGATAGTTTAGATTTTAAAGTAAAACTGGCGTGACGAGCAGAAGTCACGCAAATTCTTATTATCATTATTACTCTACCAAAACATGCGCGCTTTTTTTCTTTGTAGGTTCAAATCGCCAAATACCTTGTTAACCGTCACACGCCACGAGTGCGCAAGTCGGATGTGGTTATTTTGTCGCCTTACAGAGAACAGCGGAGCAAAATCACTGAGCTTTTGAAAGGAGCGTACGAGGACATTCAGGTGACAACTGTCACTAAAAGTCAAGGTAAAAGGATTGAAATCAAGCAGAGTGATACGATTGATCTCATTAAGAAGAGCCTGGTTAAGACCAAATGCTGGAGACGTGAGTCACTAAAAACTTTAAGATCACTCACGATCCCAGGGCCCTTTCTCTCACTTGGCCCCGCCTCCAAGTGAGGGAAACGGCCTGGGATCGGGGCTGCTTTAAGGCTGGTCTTCCCT